CACCCCACAGTTGGCCATACCCACCCCACAGTTGGCCATACACACCCCACAGCTGCCCCTATGTCCCACACCCCACAGCTGCCCCTATGTCCCATACCCACCCACCCCACAGCTGCACCCACAGAACCCCGACCATGGGTTGGGATCAGGGAGTTCTTTCCCTCTGCACTCGCCTGAGCAAGAGGGAAAGGGAGAAAGGGAAGGCAGGAGGTGTTTTCCAGGGGTTCCTCTGGAAACTTCCAGCACACACTGCAGGGCATCCGTGTCATGGGTGTGGGAACCCCATCCCTGCTCCTTTAATCTCCTTTAATCCCAGTTATTTTAATCCACACAGACCTGGGAATTCAGTGTGGGATTGGGGTGTTTCTTTTCTTTTTCACTCACTTGAGGAAGAGGGAAAGCAGGAGGTGTTTTCCCGGGGTTTCTCTGGAAACTTCCAGCGCACACCTTAAAACATGCAGGAACATCTGGGAACCCCATCCCTGCTCCTGGAGCTGGGATTTAATCCTGCCTGTTTTCATCCACGCAAGGCTGGGAATTCTGGAGGTGTTTCCAGCTGTTCCACAAGCAGACCCCGAGTTTGGCTTGGGATTTGGAAAGGGAAACTGGGAAAGCAGGAGGTGTTTTCCAGGGATTTCCCTGGATGGTTGCTCCAAGCAGACACCTCAGAGCATCCATGTCATGGGTGTGTGGGAACCCCCATCCCTGCTCCTGGAGCTGCTTTGATCCTGAGTAGTTTAATCCACACAAGAACTGGGAATTCTGGAGGTGTTTCCAGCTGTTCTCCAAGCAGATCCTGAGTTTGGGTTGGGATTGGGAAAGGGAAACTGGGAAGGCAGGAGGTGTTTTCCAGGGTTCCAAGCAGACACCTCAGAGCATCCATGTCATGGGTGTGGGAACCCCATCCCTGCTCCTGGAGCTGCTTTCATCCTGGCTGATTTATCCACAGTAGAATTGGGAATTCTGGATGCGTTTCCAGCTGTTTTGTAAGGAGACCCCGAGTCTGGGTTGGGATTTGGGATTTTTTCTTTCCCTTTTGGCCAAAAGAAAACTGGGAAAGCAGGCGGTGTTTTCCAAGGCTTTCCCTTCCAACAGACATCTCTGAGCATCCAAACCCAGCTGGCTGTGTTGGCTCCCCGTTTTCCCAGGCAGCCCTTTGCTTTCCCAGGGTTTATCCTGGATCCTCCAGATCCCTGTGGAGCCTCTCCGAGCTGTCAGAGCAGTGTTTGAACCCCGAGCACTCCAGGGCTGGGAATCACGGAATGCCTGGGGAGGAACCTTACGGATCATCCGCCCCCAGCGCCAGGGCCGCCATCACCCATTCCAGACCCCCCAATCATCCCAGAACTGCCCTTTTCCCACTGCATCCCACCCAGTGTGTCCCCTCTGTCCCCCTGTCCCAGTTGTCCTGCACGGGAACAACCTGCTGGTGTTCGGGGGCACCGGGATCCCCTTCGGGGAGAGCAACGGCAACGACGTCCACGTCTGCAACGTCAAGTACAAGAGGTGGGCCCTGCTCAGCTGCAGGGGCAAGAAACCCAACAGGATCTATGGACAGGTGGGAAACAATGCCCTGGGCCTCCCACAGCCCTCCCCTCGTAGTTATCCCCACCTCCCGTAAATAAATCCTGGGAAATCCCTCGCCCAGAAAGAAAACGGGTCCAGGAGGTTCCAGGGGAAAAGGAAGGGTTGTCTTGGGGTCAGGAGGGGTAAATTGTGGGTCCTAAACAGCAGGAGTGGGGGATGGGAAGGGGGGGTGAGTTAAGGAGTGCTTGGGGCTCTCTGGAGTTGTTCTGGGACCTCAGAACTTTCCAGCCCCAAAACACTGAATGAAAACGGGGCGAAACTCCAAACTCCTACACGAAAACAGGGGTTTGGAGAGCTTGGTTTCCAAACTCTGCCTGGAAACAGTGGGGTCAGACCCCAAACTCTGCATGGAAACAGGGGTGTCAGACCCCAAACTCTGCCTGGAAACAGGGGTGTCAGACCCCAAACTCTGCATGGAAACAGTGGGGTCAGACCCCAAACTCTGCCTGGAAACAGTGGGGTCAGACCCCAAACTCTGCCTGGAAACAGTGGGGTCAGACCCCAAACTCTGCATGGAAACAAACAGGGGGGTCAGACCCCACACTCTGCATGGAAACAGAGGATTTGGGTTTTATTTCCAAACCCAAAACTCTATGTGCAAACAGTGGAATTAGGTTTTATTTCCAATCCCCAAACTCCAAATAATAACAGGATTTAGGTTTAATTTCCAAACTCCAAATGCAGGCAGTGGATTTAGGTTTTATTTCCAAACTCCAAATGCAAACAGTGGATTTAGGTTTTATTTCCAACCCCCAAACTCTGAATGCAAACAGTGGTTTGCAGATCAAACCCCAAACCTCCAAATTGAAAGAGTGGGGTTTTAGGTTTTAGTTTCCAACCCCAAAGCTCTGAATAAAAACAGGGATCAAAACTCTCGATGCAAACAGTGGGGTTCAGGTCTTGTTTTCAAAAGTCACAGCTGTAAATGCAAACAGTGGTTTGCAGGTCTGATTTTCAATCCCAAATCTCTGACTGAAAACAGGGGTTTGTAGGTTTTATATCCAAACCCCAAAACTCTGAATGCAAACAGGAGTTTGTAGGTTTGATTTTTGAAACTTAAAACTCTAAATGCAAACAGGGGTTTGCAGATCAAACCCCAAATCTCTGACTGAAAACAGGAGTTTGTAGGTTTTATTTCCAAATCCCAAAAGTCTAAATGCAAACAGTGGGTTTAGGGTTTATTTTCCAAACCCCAAAGCTCCAAATAATAATAATAATAATAATAATAATAATAATAATAATAATAATAATAATAATAGTGGAGGATTTAGGTTTTATTTGCAAGCCCCAAAATTCTAAATGCAAACTGGGGTTTTAGGTTTTATTTCCAAACTCCCAAACTCTGAATGCAAACAGTGGGTTTAGGGTTTATTTTCCAAACCCCAAAGCTCCAAATACTACTACTACTACTACTACTACTACTACTACTACTACTAATAATAATAATAATAATAATAATAATGGAGGATTTGGGGTTTATTTGCAAACCCCAAAACTCTGAATGGAAACAGTGGGGTTCAGTCTTATTTTTCAACCCCAAAACTCTGAATAAAGACGTTGCTTGGCGCATCAAACCCCACAAGTCTTCAAACAGAGGCTTTAGGTTTTATTACCAAACCCCAGAACTACAAATGCAAACAGGGATTTGTGGATCAAAACCCCCAACTCTGAATTCAAAGACTGGTTTGTCAGCTCTTATTTTCCAACCCCAAAACTCCAAATAATAACAGTGGGTTTAGGTTTTATTTCCAAACCCCAAACTCTGAATGCAAACAGTGGGTTTAGGTTTTATTTCCAAACCCCAAAGTTCCAAATAATAATAACAATAATAATGGAGGATTTAGGTTCTATCTCCAAACTCTACACTCTGAGTGCACAGAGGGGTTTGTGGATCAAACCCCAAACCTCCAAATGAGAGGAGTGGTTTGTGTAACCCCAGAACTCTGAATGCAAACAGTGGGTTTATTTTCAAACCCCAAAACTCTCCATGAAAGCAATGGTCTTCAGATCAAACCCCCAAACTAAATGAAAACAGTGGGGTTTAGGTCTTTTATTTTTCAAACCCAAACTCTTAAAACAGTGGTTTGTAGGTTTTGTTTCCAAACCCAAAACCCTCAATGAAAACAGGGGGTTTGTAGGTTTGATCTTCAAACCTCAAAACTCTGAAATGCAAATAGTGGGGTTTATTTTCAGGGGGGTTGTAGATTTTATTTCCAGCCCCCAAAACTCTGAATGCAAACAGTGCTTTTAATTCCAAACCCCAAAACTCTGAATGCAAACAGTGCTTTTAATTCCAAACCCCAAAACTCTTAAATGAAAACAACGAGCTTTAAGATCAAACCCCAAAACTCTGAATGGAAACAGTGGGGTTCAGTCTTATTTTTCTACCCCAAAACTCTGAGTGAAGGCAGTGGTTGGCAGATCAAACCCCACAAGTCTTAAAACACAGGCTTTAGGTTTTATTTCCAAACCCCAAAACTAGAAATGAAAAGAGGGATTTGTGGACCAAAACCCCAAACTCTGAATTCAAAGACTGATTTGTAAGGTCTTATTTTCCAACCCCAAAACTCCAAATAGTAACAGTGGGTTTAGGTTTTATTTTCCAAACCCCCAAACTCCAAATAACAATAATAATAATGGAGGATTTGGGTTTTATTTGCAAAGCCCAAAACTGTAAATGAAAACAGGGGTTTTAGGTTTTATTCCCAAACTCTGAATGCAAACAGGAGTTTTTTAGGTTTTATTTTCCAACCCCAGAGCTCTGAAATGCAAACAGTGGTGTCAACCCCCAAACTCTGCATGAAAACAGTGGTTTGATTTCCAAACCCCAAAACTCTGCATGAAAACAGGGGTGTCCAGCCCCAAACTTGGAATGAAAACAGAGGATTTGGGGTTTATTTCCAACCCCCAAACTCGTAAAACATGCAAACAGTGGCTTGTAGGTTTTGTTTTCAAAACTTAAAACTCTAAATGCAAACAGGAGTTTGCAGATCAAACCCCAAATCTCTGACTGAAAACAGGGGTTTGTAGGTTTTATTTCCAAACCCCAAAATTTTGAATGCAAACAGTGGGTTTAGGTTTTCTTTCCAAACCCCAAACTCTGAATGCAAACGGTGGTTTGCAGATCAAACCCCAGCACTCCAAATTAAAAGAGTGGGGTTTGTAGGTCTTATTTTCCAACCCCAAAACACTGAATGAAAACAGGGATCAAAACTCCAAACTCTCAAATGAAAACAGGGGTTTGGAGGGCTTGGTTTCAAAATTCTTTCTGAGAACAGTGGTGTCAGACCCCAAACTCTGCCTGAAAACAGAGGATTTGGGGTTTATTTCCAACTCCAAAACTCCAAATAATAACAGGATTTAGGTTTCATTCCCAAAGCCCAGAACTCCAAACAGGGCTTTGCAGATGGAACCCCCAAACCCTTCTTTGCAGCTCTTTATTTTTAAGCCCCAAACTTTTAAATACGAACTTTTAACTACAACAAAAAAAAAGGGGGGTTGGGGTCTTATTTCTCTTAAAAGAACAACTTGTAGGGCTGTCCTGGGTGAGGGTGGTGCCCAGGGAGTCCGTCCCACAGCGTGCCTGTGGGGTGTTCACAGCAGGAAAAGGCCTCTCCCCTTTGCCAGGCCCCTGCTGGCCAGCGGGTGGGATTGGGAGCGGGCAATTCCCCGTTTTCCATCCCCTTCCCGCGGGCTGTGTGTCCCCAGGCCATGGCCATCATCAACGGGTGCCTCTACGTGTTCGGCGGCACCACCGGCTACATCTACAGCACCGACCTGCACCGGCTGGACCTCACCACGCGCGAGTGGGTGCAGCTCAAACCCAACAGCCTGTCCTGCGACATGCCCGAGGAGAGGTGAGTGCCTGGGATACACACCTGGGATCCACTCCTGGGATACACTCCTGGGATCCACACCTGGGATACACACCTGGGATCCACTCCCTGGGATCCACTCCTGGGATCCACTCCTGGGATACACTCCCTGGGATACACTCCTGGGATCCACTCCTGGGATACACTCCTGGGATACACACCTGGGATCCACTCCT